GCCCCTGCTTAGATTTACCCCCTCTGTTAGCCCTGGTGACCCCTGTCACTAATACAGGAAGTTATGGGAAATCACAAATTTTATAGTTGTCGCAAGAAACAAAAAGCGAGGGTAAATCTTCCAATGAGGACATCTGTTCTGATGACAACTGTCCGAGTAGAACTTCCCTCTTTAGAAAAATTTTGGCTCACTTCCTGTTGCATCTCTGAGGCAGGACATGAAAGAAAATCTTACCAGTGAATACAGACAACAATGAAGAAACCAACAGGGGTTTTAACCCTTGCAAACACTATACGGTATATAAAATAACATAACAATTAAAGGACATATCACCCAGCATGTTGGGGTGAGAGGAATTCTAGAGCCACTATTTACAATTAACACTAAACTGATGAGCTGTAGATTAATTGTAGATCTTGTAGTTTTTCACAGTGTAGTGGGCTCATGCAATTCTGAGGTTTGATATATGTTTGGTATTTATTTACCTAAAACAATATTATCTTTTTATTTTAAAAGGAAATTGAGGATTATTTTGTATTCACTACAATTAAATTTAATGTATTTTTTTTAACTGAAAATTTACTTGATAAATATTTGAGAAAATATTGTGCAATATAAATTCCTTTCAGAAAAAGTGTTGCTTTCATAAAAAAATTAAATGTTTTGCGAGTTTTTAGTACATTTTCATGTAAAAAATGTTTTACCATGTGCCTGAAAATGTGTTAAAAATTTGTGAAAAGCTAAAGAAACATTTATCCCTAAAATGATTTGCTTGAAGTGTATCTTGTCAGAGGCTAAACAAGACCACAGTGAAGCGGACTGAAAACTATTTTTAAATTTTGCTCTTTTTGCCAAGCAATCGGCAGTATAAAATGAGGATGCTGGTCTCCGCTTTGTGCCCAGACGTTGCAGATGATTATTTACAGTAAGATAAGTGCTTCCTGAGGGGAGTTAGTATTACACTGGAACATCCTCCTGAACACAGACTTGGCGGAAGCATGTCATAGCTGAGATACTTTGTTTAAAAACATTCAACTGTGGGTGACAAATTTCTTTGTAAATCTTTTGTGTCATTTTAGTAGGTATTACTTTTGCGCTGTTACTGTAACATTTTTGTAACACAGTTTTAATGGAGTTGTTGGGTCATTCTGTTCAATTTATAACACTTTATAGGATTATTTCATAATGTGTCAAGTTACAAACAAAAGCCTCTTCAGCTGCCTCTGCACATCTTTTTGTCAGCCTTCTAGGGGTCTAGGGGGTGTCACGGAGTCGGCCCCAAGGGCAGGGGCCATTTTGTAACACAGTTTTGATGCAGTTATTGGGTCATTCTGTTCAATTTATAACATTTTATAAGATTATAATATTATAATTCTATAAGATTATTTCATAATGGGTCAAGTTACAAACAAAAGCCTCTGCACATCTTTTTGTCAGCCTTCTAGGGGTCTAGGGGGTTTCACAGAGTCGGCCCCGAGGGCAGGGCTGGGGAGGGTGAGCAGGAGGGATAAGCCTTTACGATGTCCTTCTCTCCTCCTTCCAAACGGTGAAATTCATAACTAAGAGGACAATTGACTATTTATATCCAATACGGCCTGACAACTCCTAAATTATGACCCGTCATGAAGTTAGCTTTAGATCCAAACCAAACTTGACAGAGACATGAATGATGGGGTGGGGGGCAGGAGGGTAAATGTCGCCTGTCGGCCCCCGGAGGGTCATAATCTATCTATTTTTTATATGTCTGTTCCTGTCTCAACGAGACACGGCTATTGGGGAACTTAATTTTACAATATCTGTGTCCAATTCCGAGTTATGAAATTTAGTTGATATTGCAACTCAGTTTTATGACTGGAGTGTGACCTGGTTCTTTATCGTTACCAGGCCCGTCAGTAATTTGTCAATTACTAATTTATTAGGTGATTAGCTGAGCTGGGCACAACCATTACCATGCATTAGCTGTTTATGACACCACTAATAAGGAAGTCATTTAAGCTGATCCACACCAGGTCCAGGGGAAACTCTAGATAACGATCAGTTTTAGTGCTTCACTTAAGAAATATACGGATTACTGATTACTGGTGCAGAATAGCAGATCTCTGTTTTTTGGAATGTGAAGAGACCTGCCATTGAGGTCAGGCTAAGGTCAACTGCAATGAAAGACTGCATTTGCTTCAAGCTAGATATATTTAATATTGATAGGCTCAAACCTCATTATCGCCACATGGACAACTACTGTCAAGTTTCAAGTGCGGTATGTGTGGCTGCTAGGTAGATTCACCCTCTGTGTTTGTCCTGGTGACCATTGTCACATGAGGGTAAATCTTCCAATGGCAATACCTGTTGCAGTGACAACTGTCTATGAGGGGATTTTCTCCTCACTTTGCAAAGCTTTCCTCTTACTTCCTGTTGTGCGTCAGGAAATCAGAAGAAATCTCACAAACAGGACACAGGTAGTAAAAATAAATTGATAGGGATTTAAACCCTTCCCTTAAACATAATTAAAACATTTTTTACATGTACACACACTTTAAAATGTACTCAAAGCAGAAGTATATTTGCCTACACTCCAGTGATGCAGTGTTGGCGAGCTTCCTCACCAGTACCAACATCTTCCCCCCGTCTTCTTCTGGGTTTGGCATCTTTGGCTATCTTGATTGGCCAGCCCAGGTTAACGTGGCTCCCACGAATGTTCATGGTAGTTCATTCATCCAGGCACATGCTGGAATTTGCACACTGACCTGTTTGCAATTTTTATTAACATAGCTATAGGTTCACATTAAAAGTGATAGGAACTTTCAGATTATGGAACGATTTTTGCGCTCTTCATGCAAATCCAGCCCATAAAAAGCTTAAACACGTATTGACTTTCTGAAAGTCAATATCTGTGTGTAGCTCAGCAATTTTTCAGCCCTACAGATGACAGTGCTGACCTGGAGATTGGACACTTAGGCTGGGTTCACACGTACGGAATATGCGCGTTTGCTGCGCATTTTTACAGCGATTTGCGGTAAAAGAAACGCGCGCGCATTTTGAGGGCTATCCGGCTGTATCCTAATGGATACGCGCGGCAAATACGCTCCAAAAAAGCTTCTGTACTTCTTTGGGCGTAGGGCGTTTTGCAGCGCGTTCCTACGCGCTGTAAAACACCCAGGTGGGAACCATGCCCCTAGGCAATCATTGGTTTTCACATGTTGAGCGTTTTACAGCACGTAGGAACGCACTTTAAAACGCCCAGGTGTGAACCAGGCCTTAGGCTCTGCATTCTGAAAGCCAGAGAGTGGAACTGTACGCTGGGCGCTGTAAGAGTGCAGAAAAGGTATGAGTGACTAGTGGCTCTCTGTATAACAGTCAGGGCAATAGGAATAGGGTAGAGCAGCAAAAGATGTATAGAATGGTCTGGTATAACTGGAGCAGTTTCCTTTATACAGACAAAGGCAGACACCTTTAAGCTGGAAATCTGTCCCTCACCATCCACCCAACCTACCTCCCCAATTTTTTTTTCCCCCCTCTACTCCCCCCCCCCCCCCCTCTACCGTTTGCCTGTCCCACCAACCCATCTTTTCTTACCGTTTTTACCATTTATGATCACCTTAACCTTTCCTAGTCCCTAACGCCACTGTTCACACTTTTACCCCATCCTGCACCCCTATTCCCATTGTAAATAAAGGCTTACCCCCGAATCCTGTCTTATCCCCCTCCCCTTAAACCTAATACTTAAAACACTGACGGTGGCTTATTCATCTACTGGTATCCACCATAACCTATGCATGGGATTAATGACAACAGCAACACAGATCTAAGATCTATAATCTTCTTCTCGGTTTATTGTGCAACTGCCTAAGGCCATGCTTGTGTACCATATTGCAACTTATTCACATTCCAATATCTCCGACACAGCTTCACTCATAACCAACTTTTACTGATGTATGTTCTTCATTACACAGCCGTTTATTACCATGTTTAATGTACCATCCTGTAACGTGTTAATAACGTGAGACATATTTCAATGTCTCTGAACATAATAAATAAAGAATGTTTTAAAAAAGAAGAGTGGTAAAGCATAGTTGCCATGCTGCTGGTACTAAGCAAGAAACTAATCATGTGTGTGCATGTGTATAAAAAATATAAATAAAGCTATTAGAATATGTACAGTGTTTGTACAGCCTTGTGTACACATTTTAAACATGAAAGTAGTAATACACTTTAGACTTTTTTATGATAATAAATTCAGATTAAACAAATATACATTGCCCAGCAAAGTGTTTCTTTAAATTTTTGCCCAAACATTTACAGTCATCATGTTTCCAAGCAGCTCCAACTCTCTCAGCCCAGCTTCCGTGAACTTCCCATCCAGTACAAGCTCACAGGGGACAGAGGAATCTACAGTATCTATCCATCTACTAGCTTCAAGAAGGGAGGAGAAAGGAGCAAAGGGGAAGGAAGTGTCTTGCCTTGCTTTGTGTTTGAGGAGACGCACACAGCTTACTAGCACACACAAGTGTGGCTCCATAGGACCCTGCAAGGGAAAGGAGCCAGCCTAAAACAGGATATCAGGGCCGGTGATCAGGTGAGCAGCTGATACTGCAGGAAGGTAAAACTTTTAAACATCAAGGAGCAGCATCCATTGTAAGTGATATTATTCACAAAAGAGTGAAGAGTTTGGAGAAGGCAGGAGAAGCGAACAATCTAGGACAAAATAGCTGAACTGGAAAGTGAGCTGAATTGGAGAATTTTTTTCAAATCAGCTATTTTGGCCTAGACAGTTCACTTCTCCTGCCTTTTGTGAATAAACCTGTAAGTGAATCTAAGGCCAATATGTTTTTTGGCTAAAGTAGGGAAGGTGTAGAACCAGAGGGGGTAGGAAATTCACATGTAAAGAGGGATCATTTATCTATCCCAGCAAGACAGTAAACATAGCTTTCAAGTTAACATTGCAATATAGATGTAAATTAAATAGACAAACATGAAATATGTGTATTCATTGGCTGACATCGCGGAGAACACATCCACAGTTCAGTAAGGAGCTGAGCACACTGCGCATGTGTGAAGTTCATTCAATCAGAGGCTTACAGTCTGCTGCAGAAAATGCGCTCTCACGTCGGTCTTGGCGCGCAGCTTGTTACACAGAACGCCAAGGTGGCGGTGAAAATGTGAAGTTCGGCAGATAATAAAAATCCACGGATCCACCACGGAGTTCATAGAGACCAGCCTCAGAACGATAAGATCGTAATATTCGTTGTGCTTGTCAGTAAATACTCCAACGTAAACCCGGGCCTGTAGGGGGAAATCAAAAACGGCATTGTAAATGAAAAAGTCAAAACACAATGGCAACAACAGCTCAATGAGGGGAATTTACTGAGACAGGAGTAGACAGAATCTGGACCGCAGTAACCAATCCGCTTCTATCTTCAGCTTGCTCAGTTAAGCTTTAAAAATGAAAGCTAGATGCTGATTGGTTGCCATGCACAGCTGCTCCATTTTTGTCTGCTCCAGTCTTAATACATTTCCCCTATTATGTTTTATCAGTTTGTTTTGTAGACATCTGCTTTGTCCATTTATAAACCAAAGGGGCGTAGTGCAGCAACCGGTCTACCAGAAAGTGAATTCTAACCCTAACCCTTCTTTCATAAATAAACCCATGCTTGAGGATTTCAAGGCTTGCTTTGAGTAAAGAAGGTAAAGTAAACCTGCCATGGCAGATATGAGAACAAGGACCCATTCAATGTTATTCAGGCATATCTGGCTTTCTCAAGGGGTTGCGGGTTCTTGAGAAAATGACTTGAATTACTAGTTTGTACACATCATTACTCATAAAGGGGCACCTATTGCTGTTTAATGTTAAACTTATTCATTTATAACAATATAAAAATATATACCGTATATATGGTTTTAAAGTAATAACATGGTCCATCTTTACTGTCTGCGTTAGAGATAAAGGAGAATATTTGGTCATGGCCCAGCAGCCAGAAACATAATATTAATCAGTTGCCATTAAAGTGACATTAAACCCTCAGATTTTTTAACATAAACCAATACTGTAATGTGCGCCTTACTGTAATCCATGGTTGTTTCCCTTCTCTTTGCTGCTCTTCCTTTTAAATCTGTATCTGTTCTCATGCTCTGCAGAACTTCTGTTTTGCAGCAGGCTGCCTTGTCTGAGGAATAGATACACGGTACCTGTGTATACGTTTGTATAGGCTTGAAACCTGAGCCAGCACTACAGGAAGAGGCCCTGAGCTGAAAAGGGAAGTTCTCCCCAAGCATGAGAAGACATGAGGATTTAAAAGGAAGAGCAGCAAAGAGAAGGGAAACAACCATGGATTACAGTAAGGCGCACATTACAGTATTGGTTTATGTTAAATAATCTGAGGGTTTAATGTCACTTTAAGTTTCCAGTATAATACCGATTTTTACTTTGCCTTCTGTGTGCTTCATATACCCTCTAGTGGTAGCTTTGTAGATTTATAGTTCTTCACTTGCTCATTCTTAGTTATGTAGCACAGTGGAAACTTTTTTAGGCTGGGTTCACACCTAGGCGTATCGAATAAGAGCGTTTGTCGCGTGTTTCGTGACGCGCGTTTTTACCAACAGAATCTTACAGGAGCTTCTTTGGGGCGTATTTGCAGCGCATTTCCATTGGGATACAGCCAGGTAGCCCTCGGAAATGCGTTTGTTGTGCGTTTTTTTACTGCAAATCGCTGGAAAAACGTGCGACTAACGCTCATATTCGATACACCTAGGTGTGAACCCAGCCTTAAGAATGAAGGCTTGAAGCTAATTGGTTGCCATGCACAGCTGCTCCAGATTCTGTCTGCTCCAGTCTTAATAAATTCCCCTCAAAGTATTTTAGGCAACATACACACCCCTGCCATGCCCCCTCAGTTATGAGGAACATTAGGAATTTATATGCCAAAAATGATTGGTTAAACCCATATTTGTTTGTTTTCACTATTACTTTTCCTTTATACTGGTTTTTCAAAATGGCAAACAAGATAATAAGGAAATAAGATAAAGGTTTTAGAGCAGAAGAACAGTTTTGGTATTTAAAGAGAACCTTTTCATAGATATCTGTACATCAGACCAAAAAGAGGGACAACTGAGGAGGAAAGAGAGACAGAGGGGTTTGATTGGTGACAGTTGGGAGGTATTCTAATAATTTAAAGCCATTTATTCCAAACCACATACAGCTGTTTCAGTCTTCTTCACCATCATCAGTGCAGGCTATGGAAAAAATGGCGTGTATGGTGTAAGGCTTGGGGAACCATGAGCTTCTGGGTTACATTTTCTTATTATCTATTAGTAAGGTAACATGGCCTTTAGCAGCTTAAATAGGACACTTTTTTTTTTTTTTTTACTTTTTCATTTATAGAACCCCATAGGGTTCACACCCTATGCATTGGGGCTACACTGGTGGGCTGCATCAACTGATGAGCTTCTTATAGTACATACTTATTATAGTGACCTGGGAGGACTGCCTGGAGCACAATGGTTCTCTAATATACAATATATTGCTAAAAGTATTGGGACACCCCTCCAAATCATTGGATTCAAGTGTTCTAGTCACCTCCATGACCACAGGTGTATAAAATCATGCACCTCGGCATGCAGATGCTTCTACAAACATTTGTGAAAGAATGGGTCGCTCTCAGGAGCTCAGTGAATTCAAGCGTGGTACCGTGATAGGTTGTCACCTGAGCAATAAGTCCATCCGTGACATTTCCTTGCTACTAAATATTCTGCGGTCACCTGTTAGTGGTATTATAACAAAGTGGAAGCAACTGGGAACAACAGCAACTCAGCCACAAAGTGGTAGGCCACGTGAAATGACAGAGCGTGGTCAGCCCATGCTGAAGTGCACAGTGCGCAGAGGTCGCCAACTGTCTGCAGAGTCGATAGCTACAGACCTCCAAACTATGTGTGACCTTCAGACTGGCATCTTTAGCTTCATGGAATGGGGTTCCATGGCCGAGCAGGGGCATCCAAGCCTTACATCACCAAGTGCAATGCAAAGCGTCGGATGCCGTGGTGTAAAACACACCGCCACTGGACTCTAGAGAAATGGAAATGTGTTCTCTGGAGTGACCAATTGCGCTTCTCTGTCTGGCAATCCGATGGATGTGTCTGGGTTTGGCGTTGCCAGGAGAACGGTACTTGTCTGACTGTATTGTGCCAAGTGTAAAGTTTGGTGGAGGGGGATTATGGTGTGGGGTTGTTTTTCAGGGGTTGGGCTTGGCCCCTTAGTTCCAGTGAAGGGACCTCCTAAGGCAATGTCATGTTCCCAACTTTGTGGGAACAGTTTGGGGATGGCCCCTTCCTGTTCCAACATGACTGCGCACCTGTGCACACAGCAAGGAGAGTTGAAGCTGTTCTAGCTGCAAAGGGGCGGAGCCAACTCAATATTGAACCCTACGGACTAAGTATGGGGGTGCCATTAAAGTTCATGTTTGTGTAAAGACAGGCGTCCCAATACTTTTGGCAATATAGTGTATTTCAACTGTGTGTATATCTGCTTGCCTGGAGGTCAATTTTAATGATTGCAGCCTATTCTGCTGGTTAAAGATATTGGCACCTCTACCCTGCTGTAGGTTACATGGGCTTTTATCACTATTGCTGAACACAATGTAAATGGATTGCTCCACGTCTCTTTCCTGGATAGCAGCTGTCAACATGGCTACAAAAACAAGCAAAATAAATAGAATTTAGCTTGGCTCCACACCTTGATTTACCTAACACCCTATTTTTCTCAGGGTAGCAAACATCAACAGCTCTTCTTCAGAATCCATCTAATCTTGCCAGCCTGGTGGGTGATTGTTAACAATGGCTTTGTTTTATCTCCAAGAGGAAATTCAATTTTATATCGCAGAACGTTACATAGTGCTGGAAATTAATTATTTACCTTGAAATTACTGAGCGCTCATAAAGCTGCACTAGCAATCATTCTTTAATCATTTTCTCTTTCCTTTCTGCTGATTAAAAATGAAATATGATCTTTTAATGCAATGAAACTGCTTTGTTAACTGTTATCAGAGTCCGTGCCCCGAGGGGGTGCTTCATTTCATCACTGTGCTTGTCCTAAGAGAATATACCTTACCATTCATTTAATAGTAAGTCCGCTTTGTTTTTGTGGTTATTAAAGAGGAACTCAGGGGGGTTCAAGCTCTTATAACAAGCACTGTACACTTGTGAAAGTGTACAGTCGAACTTTTTTCTGTCGATGTTTCGCAGATAAAAGTTTCTTTATTCCATAGTTTCCTGGACTATGATCCGTGGTTGATGTGTCCGTGCAGGGCATTCCCTAGCCATCTTTCCTACAATTTGACAATTTTCAATCTTAACATACTTAGTTATGAACTAGGAGTAGGGATATTAAGGATCTGCCGCCCCTCTCCGCCCTGCCGCCTCGGTGGCCTTGTGGGGAATCCGGGCCTGAAGGTAGATCTAAACAAGCAGGCATGGCCGATTGCAGTCTCCACCAGAGACACTTGTTGCAGGACAAGAACACAACTGTTGTGAACACATAATAGGTAGTTATGATAGTGCTTGAACAAGGACTTTTCTTGGCAGGCTCACCAGTATTCTCTTTAATAGAAGCAGCTGAAATGTTACAATTTATGTGATTTTTAGGTATTATGATTAGATCTACTCTGGGTCCAAAAAGACTCAACAGGTATTGTCAGAAACAACAACAAAAAAGGAACGCTCTCAACGTGAATCAACTAATAGTCACCCAAAAAAATCTTTCCAGCTCTGCCGTCCAAAGGAATTGTGGGATATATCACCGGACAAGGAGAAAAAACAGAGGGCACTGGATAGTTCTGATAGTAGTTTAAAAAGCATGAAAGTATAAAAATATAGAAGTAAAAAGCGTAAAAGCATAATCCAATGCATTTATAAACCATTAAATAGCGCAATGATCAAGAAACTGCAGGATCTGCATACAACTGCATGGGAATACTGTTTCTGGTTGAAGCGAATCCTGTAGTTTCTTGATCATTACATTGTGCCTCTCATTCATACTGGTTTGTAAGTGCATTGGATTTTGCATTGGTAGCACCCCCCTGACCCCCAAAGGCATGTGAGAGAAGGTGGGCTGAGTTAGCCGGTTGTGGGATGCAAATGTAAAGTTGGACGCCAGTCTCTTTAAGGGTTTTCAGAGATTTTATTCCTCCCAACAGCTCATATGGGAGAGTGGGATAAGGGCTACAGACACCGAGGACAGTACAGACTCCAGATTTATCGACCACTTCCCAGCTTCACAGTGCAGAGAGCCCTTA